TGCCGACCGTCACACCCGACGCGCTGGCCGAGCAGCAATCATCATCACGACGATTTTACGATGCACTCAATCCAAGTGAGCAAAAGAGTAAGACGCTGACCGCGCGGCATGGCCAACCAAGGGTGGATCAGTCGCCATGGTCAGTGCATACATACTCAAGGCACCTACCTGTCCAAGCCGTCAAGGTCTTCATCTTCCCCAACCAGAGCTCCTCAGCCGAAAGCACTTCGCATCCATGCTTCATCTCCGGCCCAAGTGGGACTTTTTACATCCGAGGGTCTCGGCACAGCCTCACCTAATAACCCAGCCGGCTCCTTTTACCGAGTCGAGCTACCCTCAATCACGATGCGTCGCACACTCAAAATTAGTTTAAAGTCCATGTACTACTTGGAATGGCATCAATTCTATGTCCGATGTTCGTTCCATTGCAAGCGCCAACCTCATAGTATACACTCTGTGCCTGTCCAGGCAAACGCCGTAATCCCCATGGCAGCTAACGCGCTGAACCATGATACCGTGTTTCCGTAACGCCAGCGGTCTCATGCCGCGCAATGAGTTTCGATCCAAAGACTGCATGGACCATATAAGCCTTGGCCAGATATTGCAATCATTTTCCCTCCTAATCCTTATAACTCCCAAGCTGTTCAGAACGTTTGTCGAGGGCCTTCCTCGACATCCCGACGTCCCAACGCCTCCCGACGAAAGAAAAGTCGCATGCGATGACGCTGCTACTAAGCAGCAGAGATGGCCATGGGGGCCGGTGAGCTTGCCGAAACGCTGCCGGGCGCGCTCCGCATCTCAACGTCGGCGCCGCTGTTGACGGCGCTGTTGGCGTCGCTCTTGATCTGATCATTTTCCTTGTTCTCCTTGGTGCTGCTGTCGGCCGAGGCGGCGGCAGAGTCCTCGGTGGTGGACTCCGGAACAAATTTGGGTGGCGCGGTCCATCGAGGAACCTCCCAGACAATACCTGTGAAGCTCTTGAGGACGAAACCGCCCCTCGCCCATTTGCGGCAGGGCTTGCCGCTTCGGTCGAGAGCCCGTAGACCGGCGTTGATTGCACCTTGGTTGGCCTTGGGGCCCAGCTTGTGTCCACCGGCACCGCCGCGGGCATTTGGGTCGATTGTTCCATCCTCACTATATGATGATGTTAGCAGGCATTCTATATAGGCAGTGTGCAATTTGGGTAAACATACAGTCTCGCCTTCTTCTTAGGGCCAGGCTTGCCGCGGACCTTTGGCTGTCCGTCAGGGCCAAGGCCATTGGCAGCGGCAGCACCACGCTTGATACCCTTCTTCTTGACTCCCTCGGTAGGAGGGCCCATGGAGGTGGGTGCTGGAGTTCCATCGCCAGCGGGCGTGCCGGGATTCGAGTCGGACGCAGTCTCGCCATTCGTGACAGCAGGGGCTGGCAACGTGGCTGATGTGGCGGGTGATTCTTGCGCTTCTTGTGTCTCCTTGTTTCCATTCGTTTCCTCAACGTCCATCTTGACGGGCGAGTCTTCCTTTACATAGCTGGGATCGAGGGTCCGCTTCAATTTGTCGGCGTCGACAGTCAGGGTGATAACGAGGCCGCCCTTGCCTCCATTGGACTTGCGGCGACTGACGGATGCGGTGGGTGCCATTTCGAGATGGTTTTAGGCGGGCTGTATGGGGATGGGTTGGGTGGTGAGGGCGAAGACTGATTGAACGTATGAAGGATGGGTGAAGAGGTGAAGTTTGGCGGCGCGGCGACAGGAAGCTTAGTAGGTAGTGATGGCTTTGTCGGAGATAGCTGCTTTGATGAATGGGGTGGCGGACGGGCCGGGCATCCAATGGGCCCCGAGTTGTGATCTGATGGGTAAAGGATTGGGCAAGGTTTTGGGCGGTGGTGGGTGTTGGGTTGGATTTTGTGGTGAGCGGTGCGGTGCGGGATTCTTCTGGGTGCGGTGCGTTCTGTCCTTGTCTCTCTCTCGTGGGTGGTGGCAGATTATTTCGCGTGGACGACTCGCACAGTCGACGGCGAGGCAAGGCGGTGATGGGCGATGGGCGATGGGGGTTTGGCGATGGATGGAACGGGAGGGTGGATGAGAAGATGGGAAGGGGGATAAAGAGAATTTTTATTTTATGGGGGAATCCATCTGGTAAGTTTGGCGTCTCATTTTCGAGAAAGCGCCAGAGCAGGCGGCGTGACAATAAACGGTTCTCATGCTGCCTGGGTTGGGTGCGCGGTGGTGCTGGGTGCGTGGTGCGTGGTGCTGGGCTCCCGTTTCTCTCCTCGCTCAAGACTTGACCTCCAGCTTTCGCTTCCTCTCGCGCACCTGCCACAGCGCCGCAGTTGTGGGTAAGCGAGTGGAAGATCCGACCAGTGACATGGGGGGGCCGTGGCCGGAAAGGGATGCACGGGTGGATTTTTCTCCCCCTTCCAGAGGTACAAAGGTACATTAATCCATCCAATCCAATCCAAGATCTCACTGAACAACAGTACGGATACCATAAGGTAGCTAAGGTATGACCTTCGTACTCCGTACTGCGTGCCTTGTTCAAAATCGAAGGAAAGCCGCAAGGCACAGTTTCGCCCTTGCCATCCATGGATCTTGGAACCATACGGAGTACAGGGATCATGTACCATTTTATGTGCAGCCGCCTCTCTGTCTAGGTGTCTGGGCAAGCACGAACTGGAAGTGAACCTCAAGGGTAGCAAGGCATAGGTCAGTAAGGTACGTACCGCGGCACCCTCCGTCCGTCGGCCGGGGGCCATCCACGCACCGCGCTCCCTCACGTCAATCCCGACACCAGGGCCAGCAAAACGTGGACTTTATCGTCCTTGCTTTAGGCCATTGGTCTGGTTTTGACGATGCGTGCGTGTAGAAGGCACGCTGGGCTGTCTGTCTCGCTGCATTTTTGCACCAGTTTCTTTAATTATTCCCTTTGCCCCCTTTCCCCATTTCGCCATCTGACCTCACCTCAGCAGGACATTCGGGATGAGAAGCTCAGTAATATCCACACCAGACACACACACACACACACACACACCCATCACACCTTGGGTTCCCCTCTTTCCCCCTTATTGCCTTCATCTCTTCTCGTCAGGACCATCTGTAATGATACCCGTCCTCTCCCCGGCCCAGTCCTTGACTTTTCCCTCACATTCTGAACATCCCCGTGCCTCAGGCGATTGTCTATCGTCTACCCGCATCCTCCCATCCATTCATCCCGACTGCTTGTCACAGCAAAGGCGAAACACTTTACTTTCGCACCTCGCGACAAGGTCCAGCGGTCTGTTACCCATTTGGGCAACGCTTGACTCGAAGATTGGCGATAGAACGCTACCTCTGCTTCTTCTTCTTCTTCTTCTTCTTCTTCTTCTTCTTCTTCTTCTTCTTCTCCACACAAGACGTCCCAGTACACCGGCCGATGATCCATGACCCTTTCAGACTTTATGTACTATCGCAGATTATTTCCCTCAGCCTTCAGCACCATGACACAATCAGCACTGCCGCCGCGCCGCCTTGGTTATTTGCATCTGGGTCATTGTCACGCCCCCCTCGTCGGCGATCGATGCATCACGCACCAAGCTCCCAGGCCATATCATCTTCTCACCTTTCCTGTGCGGTATTCCCAGACCAAGTAAGAGAGCTGCCAAAGGCTGCTGTTGTCGTCGTTGGTGCGAAAACGCCATGGAGAAAAAAACCACTGTGGGATCTACGGATACGGGTTGTCCGTACTAGTAGTGGTACGAATGGGTCGGCGAGCGAGGATCAAGGCGACAGAAAATTCAAGTCCCAAACTAACAAGTCCTCATCAGACCCGATGGGCTCAGGTCGGCGCTTGGCCGGCCAACTACGATACTTGTCCAGGTCAGCGGCCCAGAACTCTGAATTGGTGATGGCGACCTGCAGGCTCCCGGCTGAGCCTGGAATCCCCTTGGATCCCTCGTTGGGGCCCGAACCTTAGTCACTCTGGGATCTCTCTCGTCATCATTTCGCCTTCCAGAAGCAAACCGTGTCCGCTGCATCAGAAGACCATGGACGCCGATGGACAATTGTCAGCACACGAGGTGATGAGTTGTGTTTTAAAATTACTCTATTGACACGAGCAACCATGACAGGAATCCCTTGATGCTAGTGCACGTGGAGGAAAGTACCAGCAAAACGACTGCCAGGCCCATCCGAGATGGACGCCTTGCGACCGCCAATTGCTTTTGCACCAGTGCACGTTCAGATTGGACCCTCAACGGGCATTGATAAGAACGGCTGATCGCTGAAGGCATCCTCACAAGCCGCCTTCCTCATTTCGACACCGGGTAAGTCATCAAAGAGGTCATATCATGTCTCACGATACACTCGCATGGACTGTTTGGTCTGGTACCTTCTGGCATCAGAATTTCTCGCGAAATGATTATGAAAAGGCTTTTCATTACACCGGCTTCTCGACATACGGCGCGCAAGAAAACGTCGTGAGACTGGACCTCGGGTAGCCCTAATGATTGAAAAAAGGGGGCCAGCAAGAACTTCCCGCGTCTGCCGTGGCCTCACTTCCCTGTCATAAGGGTTCGAAAAATGCTTCTAACCCCAACTCCAATTCCACTTGGCGAGAGCCAATCGTGCTTCAGGATTCCAAACAACCCAACCCGACACCAGCAGAAGTGGAAGGCCGCGTGGTGCAAGCCAGAATGGAAATGAGGTCAGAGCTCAGCTCCGATCAATCCGTACAAAAACGTATAATGCCACACGAACGAAAGAAGAAAGACTCCTCCGTTTCACAGCACACCAGACCTGGTTATCGCCAGTACAATGATGGTTCCCAAATCAAAGTAACATTCAACGGCGTGTTTCTATCCTTCAACACCCCAGCAAGTTGTTTGAGCAGAGCATCCGATTCCATGAGATACCTGAGAAAAGCACGAAAGCCAACCCGCACAATCAGCACAATCAAGTAGATTGCCTCGTTTCACGAGATCCGTGCAGCCGGTGTCGAACTTCACCAACGGCATTCCCCGAAACCACGATTCATCCGGTCGCAATGGTCTCCCAAGGATGCTTGAGCTGCTCCATGTGCCTGCTGAGTGTTACCCGACAGCGGATTACCACCACCGACATGAAGCAAAATCCACATCGTCATCACAAAGCCAAGCTTGTGCTTGCGTCCTCGATTTCAACATTGCGCCTACAGCGCTCCACAACCAGGAAAGTATCTTCCGGCGGCGGCACATTCATCGCCACGGCCAGTCTAGACGTGCGGTTACCTACTCGATTCAATCATCCATTGTCTCCGCAGGCCAAGCAAAAGACGAAAGACATGGATAGTGAACCAGGCTATGGCAGTCCTAGTAGTAGGTTTGCCTGCTTTGGTATTGAACGGCAATTCTTGGAAAGACACAAGCGTTGTTTCCCCCTACTCACGGTCGCCGTTGATCCGTCAATGACCGAGGGATGATTTACCTTTGGAATGCATCTGCATCAGCGGCTATTGAATGTTCTCTGGAATGCGTTGCTATGTTTACATTGTGTGCAACGCCACCTAGCTATATCATGAGCTCGAGAAGTCTCGAGACCTTGTTTGAAAGAGAAACCATCTCTTACTCACCTTGAACATTCCAAGATGCATCTTATCAGCAAAATTTTATATGTCTGCGTCGCTTTACATGTCGCCTTCCGGGGCGCGTCCGGCGCAATTCTCCGGGGACGAACTAGCGATGCCGATTCCAACCAGCTTTCAGCAACTGATTTCCAAACTTTGAGCCAGGCCGCGGAAGATCTGAACAGTCAGCTGGATAACTTCTTGAGGAACTGGAACGGTGGTCACCGTAAACCCGATATCGTGGAAACTACAACAACTATCGCCAAGCGGCAGGCCAGCGGCATCTCGATTTCTCCGCAAGACCTTCAAGATCTTCTAAAGCTCATCCAGTCCATCGAGCGACAGTTGGCGGCGATCATCTCTGGCGGCACCACGGCTAGTGGAACTGTGGCACCGGCTCCTTCAAACACTGTCAACAACCCGGGGCCGGTTGCTTCGTCGACAGTGCAGTCCAACGTCCAGCCCACCGTCACCGGCAATGGTCCGGCCAACCCAGGTGTAAGTTCTCCTACCCCCAACCCCGTGCTGACGAACACAGGAGATGGCGGGCCACTCACCACAGCATACGGAACGTCCGTCATGACCGGTACGAGATGCAAGACGACGGTCACTCAGACTTTCACCGAGTATGTCTATGAGGACGGGACAACAGCCGTGCCTCGAGCTGGTCGATCGGTCGCGGAAGACGACGAGGCAGATGACGAAGAAGATGAAGAGCGTTGGGTCACTGCCACCATGCCTCGAGACACTGAAGAAGACGACGACTGGGAGCCTTGGGTCGAGTTCGACGGGACAACCACTGAGGAAGACGAGTCCGATGTGGGCTTCACGACGCGCGATTCCTGGATGGAACTGGGGGTCAAGCGTCGTGATCCGCTGGACGGGACCAGTGGCCCCGGGCTCCTCTTTGTTCGCGATGAAGAGGGGATTTGACGATCGGATGGTTTCTTAAGGTGGGACTCATCGCTCAAATGCGATGACCGCCTTGGCTCACGTTTCACAGTACACGACGATAGAGAGACCGTTGACGGATGAAGATGGACAACGACAGATTATGATGGACGAATTTCGGATAATGAGTTTCATGACTATTTACGACATTCATTTGGCATGAGAAGCATGTGGCACGAAGAGGATACGAGGCGAGATAGATGCATACACTGTTTTTTTATATCTCAACTCCCAGAGCGGCAACGGCTGGGAAATTCTTGGACCGGGTTTTGTGTATCGTCCCTTCAACAGCCGGCGGGCACACACCGGATGAAATTATTACAGAAGCACTCTCATTTCAATGCAACACTGCAGAATTTCCTTATCAGCTTAACAATTATCAGTCTCATTTATGTGTGAAACCTGTTAGCGTCTCAGTCCCCATGTTGAAGAAAAAAGAGTCCGGGACCGTGTGCCAAGAGGCCGGAACGGTTCCGGCCACGCCGGCAATAATCGGTCAATAAGTGGGGCTAGAGAAAGTCAATACTCGACCACCGCTCCAGTCCCCAGCGCGCCTGCACCGGACCTGCGAGAACCACAAAAACTCGGCATCTCCAACAACAAACGACTCGTCGACGCCCGATAAAGACATTTAGCTCAGGAAGGAAAAGGAAGGAATGCATGTAAGGTCATCAGGGTGTGATACGCGATGTGGGCAGAATCCAGGGTATGGCGAACCAGTGAGGTGCAGAGGCATTGTGCTTATCATGGCTGGGAAGGCGGGAGTGCAAGGGCTTGGCCAGCATGGAAGAGAGAAGAGGGTGGGAGCGAATCTCGGGTCTGGCTATCTAGATGACCCCGTGTGACCAGAGATTAGGATGATATGACAAACAGAAATAGCGAACGGACACGGCGGACGGGGTGGAGGGAAAGGGAAGGGGGGATTCGTGTCATGGCCGGAGGTGCACCCCCTCACTTGAGGCCGGAATCGATTCCGGCCACGAACTATATACACGGCGCCGAGTGGCGGGAGGGCAACGAAACAAACTTGCACTCCAACTCATTCAGCACCTTTGCACTGAGAAGCAACTGAGCAGCTCGATTGGAAATTATTTGGCATTTTTTTGCGAATTTTCCGCATCCTTTTACATACCCATCTCACTTACACGCATCTTATCGAAGCTCATCTGAGTCGACTTACACCAACCCAAAACTCTTCTGTCCCCTTGCCCCAGACATCAGTCGCACTTACACACACACAACCACACCATCATCATTCCGTAACCCACATACAACCAACCCGCACTTACACACATCTCCCCCAACCCATCCCAGACAACCCTATCCCCACGTTTTCGATTCAACCTTATCCATCACAATGGGCTCAATCGACTCCACCCCCTTCCCCGTCCTCGACGACCCCCGCGCGTCAGACACCTCCCTCCCGGCCTTCATGGTCTCCACCACCCGCGGCTTCCTGCCCCGCGCCGACCCCGTCGCCGTCCTACCCGCCGAGTTCGCGCCCCTAGAGGACATTCTCGCGCGCATGCCCGTCAAGAAGCTCGACGGCACGCCCGGCCTCCTGGCCTCCTCCAAGCTCGGCGAGACCGTCGACGCAGAGTTCCCGGACCTGACGGACGCCATTGACAAGTACAAGGACAACCTGCCGCTCATGAACGCCCTGTACCGTGACTACTCGTTCCTCGCGTCCGCGTACCTGCTCGAGCCCTGCCACGAGCGCTTCGTCCGTGGCGAAGGGTACGGGCTTGCAAGGGACGTGCTGCCGAGGAACATTTCGATGCCCATTGCCCGCTGCGCTGATCTGTAAGTGTTTCCTCTCTCATATGATGCTTGAGCAAATCAAATCTAACCTTCCGTTCTTCAAATAGCACCGGCTTCAAGCCATGGATGGAATACGCAGGCTCCTACGCCCTCTACAACTACCGCCTCGAGGACCCCTCCAAGGGCATGGAATACTCCAACATCCGCCTCATCCGCGCCTTCGAGCACGGCCTGGACCCAACCTCCTCCGAAGCAGGCTTCGTCCTCGTCCACATCGACATGGTCAAGAACACGGGGCCCCTCGTCAAAGGCACAATGGCCGCCCTCCGCTCCTCCGTCCCCACCACCACCTCGCCCACCAACCCAGCCCTGGACCGCGCAGCCCTCAACCGGGGCCTGTCCGAGGTCCTCGCCGCCCTGCGCAAGATCAACAACACAATGGAGACCATGTGGGACAAGTCCCGCCCGCAGAGCTACACCAGCTTCCGCACCTTCATCTTCGGCATCACCAGCCAGAGCATGTTCCCCAACGGCGTCGTCTACGAGGGCGTAAACGACGACAAGCCAATGTCCTTCCGCGGCGAGTCGGGCGCAAACGACTCCATCGTGCCCCTGATGGACAACCTCCTCCAGGTGCCCATGCCCGACACCCCGCTCACCGAGATCCTCAAGGACTTCAGGTCCTACCGCCCCAGCAACCACCGCCAGTTCCTCATGCACGTCAAGGACCGCTCCCTCGAAGTCGGCCTCAAGGACGCCGCGCTCTCTACAAAACTCTCCGCCGACAGCCTCGGTGCCGAGGAGAAAGAGGCTGTGAAGGAGTCCCGCCGGTTGTGGCTGCTGATCTTGCACCAGGTACGTGATTTCCGCTGGCGACACTGGTGCTTTGCGAGAGAGTATATCCTCAAGCGCACGTCGCACCCGACGGCGACGGGCGGGAGCCCGATCGTCACGTGGTTGCCGAACCAGCTCGAGGCGATTCTGATCGAGATGGAGGATTTGTATGGGGCCGTGGCTGGTGCTGGCGGGGAGTGGGATCTGGGCGAGGAGATGAGGGATGTGATGGATCTTGTTGCTAGGCAGAAGATGACGCTGAGGAAGGAGGTTGCCAAGTATTGTGCTGAGAGGGGGGTCAACACCGTTCTGCAGGGGAGTTCTTGATGGCGGTTGTGGTGACTGGTGTGATGGAGGGGGGGAGTGTTAGACAAAGGGAGTGATGATAAGCTGCGGGCGCAGGGTTACCGTAGAGAGGCGGTGTCATTTTGGCTAGTCTCTCCGGAAGCATATACAATTTCAAGTAAAAGTATTCTTTTATTCAAAACCTCTATAAGTGCCATCCCGTCGCCATGCCATAAGATGAATGCGACTTCAAGGAGGCGCAAGGCAACAAACTATAAACCTCGTCATTGATTCAACGCCGCGTCCATGCTCTTCCTCCACTCGGGGGCCTTCTTCCTCAGTGTCCAGACGCAGATATAGCCCGACACCCACGCAAAGATGCCCAGTATCGTGAACAGCCACCCGTTGCCGATGGCGTTGATAACGGGCTGCGCCGCAATCGCACCAATACAACTGAAAATGTTTCTGACAAAGTTGTTGACCGCCACGCCGCCGGAGCTCCGTTTGGGCATGAATTCAGTTAGCATGGTCGTGGCGGCGCCACTAAGCAACTGTTAGCCGAAGCCGGAACGGAGATAAGATGAAAAAGCGATAATCAGACATCATTGGTGAGAGGGGGCAAAAAGACTTACAACACGAGCATCGAGCTGGCGCCAAAGGTGAAGAGACCGATGCACGGCACAAACCAGAACAGGCCCTTTTCCACAACCCATCCGTAGTAAATAAGCGACGCGGGGTACACCGTCGCCGCGATCCAGATATTCTCGCGCATCCTGTCCTCGGGCAACAGGATCAGCTTCCCGTCGGCGTCGTACCGACCCGCCTTGCGCGCCTCCCTCGCCATGATGACATCGAGCCAGCGCCCTCCGAGGAGGGAGGCGAGGAAGTAGCCCAGGCCGGCGGGGAAGTAAAAGAGGCCGATGATGAGCTCGCTGAAGCCGTAGGGGGCCTGTGAGAGCGTCGCCTGAACGGAAATGTTCACGACGAAGAGAGCGCCAAAGGTGACGGCGGCGAACCAGACTGTTATGGCGACGGGGGGGAAGCGGAGGTAGAGGAGGACGGATAAGGGGTCGATGAAGGACTTTTTGAAAAAGGCGGCTGCTTTTTTGGAGTGGACTTTTACGGATTCGGTTGTTTTTGTACGGGACAGGGCAATCTTCTCGCCGCCCCCGTCTGATGCTTCTCGAGGCTGCGAGACCACGAGAGCAGCGGGCTTGGGACGCGCGAGGGTCTCGGGCAGACAGAACAGGATCATGACGAGGACGAGACCGCCGTAGATGGCGAGCGTCCACATGGTAGACTGCCACCCGAACCGCTGCGCCAGCGCGCCACCGATGATGGGCGCCAACAGGGGGCCCGTAAGGGGGCCGAGGTAGAAGATGCTCATGGCTCTGCCCCGCTCGCGTGGCTCCCAGATGTCGGCGATGGTGCCCGCGCCGACGGCCTGGACGCTGGCGCTGGCTCCGCCGGCGAGGAGGCGCATGACGATGAGCATTTCGATGTTTACGCTGACAGCGGAGAGGATGGAGAAGAGGACGAAGAGAGCGAAGGAGAGGAGGTAGATTGTGCGGCGGCCGAGGGTCTCGGAGAAGGAGGACCACCAGAGGGGGAAGATTGCCATTGCGAGCATGTAGAATGCTACCGAGAGGTTTGTGATTGTGGGGGTGACGCCGAATTCTTTGGACATTTCGGTGAGGGCGGCTTGAATGTTGTCAGTATACCTCATAAAAGGATGCGCTTCCCGTATTCTGGAAAGTGATTGTGAAAGTACATACGATAGAAGATAGATGAGCCCATGGGTGAGACGGCCGCGGCGAGGGCGATGATCAAGGTGATTGTCCATTTCGTCTTGTTGGTATAATTATACGGATTGTCCACTTCCGGGATGGTGGTCAGTCGTGCAAGGAATCCTCGCCGTTTTGACCTGGCGACGATGGAAAGGGCTCGGGAGCGGGTGGAGGAGGCCCGGGACCGTGTTCTCGCCGGGGCGTCACCGGCTGACGGGTCCCTCTCTCCATCTACCTCCCCGTCCCGCTCCGAGTCGGCATCGGCATCGGCAGACTTGCGGGACCGGTCTCCATTCCGACCGACCTCTGTAATTTCATCTTCGCTGTCGCTCGATTGGCTGCTACTCTGATCCTCACCGCGGCCCGGGTTTTTGGTTTCTTCTGGCGGAAAAGAATCCTTTTCCGGATCGTGTAATGTGGTGGTCATCTTTCTTTCTCGATGAGCTTTCGCCGAGTCGGTGCCGATGTGGATACGACAAGAGAAGGGCGCGAGATTTCAAGGCCAGACGGAAAATCCAACAAACTACCTCGGTAGTAGTACAGAGAGAGGAAGGCAAAGTCTTGTCACTTGATCTTAAAGACTCCGCAAAGCCAAGCAAGTAAAAACATTAAAGGCAAGATGGCAGAGAGACGTTCCCAAAGGGAAAAAAAAAAATGACGACAAGGAAAATTGCCGGGGATGTTGGCCGTATTATGAATCGGGTGTTGTCCGGCTTTCCCACCCCACACCACACCCATCCAGGGCGGGCTGGTCATGTCCATGATGGCGGCTAGCCTCTTTAACCAGAATGTGCTTGTCGGCTACCGTTACCGCTACCGCTACCGCTCCGCAGTGGAGTGGATCGACACCGCGCTCGGCTGTGGGTAGCCGATGTTTCGAGCGCGAGAGGATGGGAGTGAGATGCCTCGGCGATGTTTGCGTTGTATGGTGGATTAGTAGTAGTAGGTATGGCGAGCTTTTGTCAAGCACGCAGTAGCTTTGCCCCTCGTTGGTCGGAGTGATCGAATAAAGCACTTGCGACTGCAAGAACTTCTTCAGACACCTAGATTCCCATGTACATGGTGGGAAGATCGGCACTGGCCGTTTGGTATTGCCGTCTTGGGTCCTGTTTCCGGCTTGTAACCGCTTAGTCAAAGGCGTGAAAGGCGTGATCCATCGGCAAAGGGGGATGTGGTTGATTGAGCTAATTGGGACATGCTCCGAATCTTTTCGGCTCACTCCTTATCGAGGGTTTATTTCTTATCAGGCGGAACGGGTAGCTCCCGCCGCGAACTGGGGCTCTGATGTCTCTGAGAGGGTCGGAGGAGACATGTCTAGGTCTTCGCGGAGTGCATAGGCGGTCGCCTGCATGCTTGGCAGCATCCCTCGCGGATGAGGCAACACCTAAAAGTAGAAGGTTGTTGACACTCTGACACTCAGAGAGGTGAGATGAAGGGCGGATGAACCACGCAGTGAACCAGGTTGATGAGAATGGGGCAAGCCTGAAAGATTCGACAGTCGCTGACGTTGCCTCAATGTACCTCGGCTTGGAGGGGACTGTCGCGGAATGTCCGACAGCCCAGTGCAGGAGACGGTTACTAGCCATTTCATGACTCGAGTTTGTTTGTAGTTGTCAGTAAGGTGGTATCTCAACCAACTGTTTATAGAAGCTGGGCCTAAACTTCAAACATTTGGAGTGAAGGTGTGTGCATTGTTGCATCATGGAACAAAAGTACAAGAATGCCAGTGTCAGATCGGAGCAAAAAGCAAACGGCAGAGTCTAGCTCGAACCCTTCACTATTCATCGAAGGTTGCCATGGCCGCGGATTGTTAGGTTATGAACCACTCAGGCTTCCCGACCACTTCCCCTTCGACTGATGATTCTTCCGAGTAATTTCCGAATTATCACCCATTCACTGTCATTCTGCGTGTTAGGAGCAAGACTTTCGATCCCTGCTCGCTTGACTGGGCCAGTGAGAGGTCAACATCGTATCGAACGAAGGTAGTCTCATCACCATGCACATTTACGGATACAAGTAGTTGAAAGAAACTTTGAAATTCTGCCTCTGGAACTGTAAGGTTGCTGAATTAAAGTTACCCATCTAAGGTACTACTTGCTATTGGAGTATGGTAGAGTTGCTTCAACTCAATTAAACAAAACTCTGTGCCCAGTCTCACTCACTCCCTCTGTTCCCCTCCGAGTGCGGGGCTCCAAATTTTCATGGCCAAACATGCTGCCCACCGGGTGGCGCACCGCACCATTAACCAGCATACAAGCCCAGGTGTATCGAATCGCGAATTGACTCACACCGAACTCCCCTGAGCTTGTAAGTGTATCTCAAAGAAGGGCAACAAGTCTTGCACTTTTCAGCTCGACGGCACCAAACTTAATACACACAACTTCATTGGAGAGAACCCTCCACATCCCATCCGCTCACAATGTCCCTCACCAACGCCTCCCCCGTCGACGCCGCAAAGGGTGCGAAATCGGCCTCTCACATCCTCGCGACCCTCCCTGCCGAAGCCCGCAACGACGCTCTGACGGCCATCCACGCCGCTCTCGCCGAGGCCAAGGACGACATTCTGGCCGCCAATGCGCGCGACCTGGAGCTCGCCCGCAAAGCCGCCGCCGATGGCCAATTGAGTCAGAGTCTCGTGTCCCGCCTGGACCTGGGCAAGAAGGGCAAGTTTGAGGATATGCTCAAGGGTATCTTGGATGTGAGAGGTCTGGAGGACCCAGGTATGTACTTACTCACTCGCTCACTCGCCCAATTCACAAGCACAAGGGTCATTCAGTATTCTGACTCTGGATACAGTCGGCAAAGTTACACTGAGAACCAAGCTGGACGACGGCCTCATTCTGGAGAGAGTCACCTGCCCCATCGGCGTCCTCCTCATCATCTTCGAGGCCCGCCCCGAAGTCATCGCCAACATCGCCTCCCTGGCCATCAAGTCAGGCAACGCCGCTATCCTCAAGGGCGGCAAGGAATCCACCGAGTCCTTCATCGCAATCTCAAAAGTCATCTCCGCCGCCCTCGACAAGTCCCAGGTGCCCAACCCGGCCGTCCAGCTCGTCACCACCCGCGACGTCATCCCCCAGCTCCTCGCCCTCGACGAGTATATCGACCTCGTCGTCCCCCGTGGCTCAAACGAGCTCGTGCGCTACATCAAGGAGTCGACAAAGATCCCCGTCCTCGGCCACGCCGACGGCCTCTGCTCTATTTACCTGAGCGACTCCGCCGACGCCGGAATGGCGGCAAAGGTCCTCGTCGACTCCAAGACGAGTTACCCGGCCGCTTGCAACAGCGTCGAGACCCTGCTCGTCCAGGAGTCCGCCCTCGACTCCGTCTTCCCCGCCGCCGCGGAGGCGTTGGTCGCGGCCGGCGTCACGCTGCACTGCGACGCCAAGTCCAAGGCCGCCCTCCAGTCCAAAATCTCTGGGGATGCGGCTTCGAGAGTCATCGACGCCAAGGACGCAGACTACGACACCGAGTTCCTCAGCCTCGACCTTGCCGTCAAGGTCGTCTCGTCGCTCGAAGAGGCGGTGCAGCACATCCACGCCCACGGGTCCAAGCACACCGAGTGCATCCTCACATCGTCGTCCGACGACGCCGAGCGGTTCATGGCCGCTGTTGACGCCGCGGGCGTGTACTGGAACGCGTCGACGCGCATGGCGGACGGCATGCGGTACGGCTTCGGCACCGAGGTTGGCATCAGCACCAACAAGATCCACTCGCGCGGACCCGTTGGGTTGGAGGGTCTGATGATTTACAAGTACAAGATTCGGGGCCAGGGACAGGTCTCGTTGGCGTATGGTGAGGGAGAGGGCCAGAAGCCGTTCAAGCACGAGAAGTTGGCTTTCTAAGGGGGAAAAGAGGGTGTAGACAAAAGGAAAAGAGAAAAGCATGGGACCAACGGCGTTAGGTAAGCATCGTGGGGGTGACGAAGGAAACGAATGAAAAAAATTCCAATGATTATCTATCTGCGTTGTTCTTTTGACTACCTCATTGTTCGCTCTGCTCATTCCCGGTAGAAAATGTCACTGACATTCGGTATGGAATCGGCCCCACATTGCACGGACGTCTCGCCGGTCCGGTATGGCTCCATCGGCCGGGTGCCGGTTTCTCTTGGTATTCCGCTCGGGTCTGTCACAAGCCAAGAGCAGCTTCTCCATTTGATTCGCCTTCTGCAGGTCTTATAAAAACTTCTGGAAATATATCTCAAGCATACTTTGGTAACGCCTGCCCCATCTGTCGTTCGGGAAGTCATCTTTGAACACCTTACAATGGGTTTTCCGTTTTCAGTGTAGCCAAGCCCATTCATGATCTCTGCAAGAAGTCACAAAACCTTAGAACAATCTGAAAACAATCGATTCATCCACTTCTACTTACCTTACGGACTTTACGAATTGCTCGAGGCTCAGAGAACGGCATGAGATTCCCGAGAAAAAGGGGGAGAGACCAGGGACCAATGGCAAGACGAGTCGCCGTTGGACGGTTCTAAGCGCCGCCCCTCTTCACCTGACGCCCGAAAGAGTTAGAGACTCTCTCCATCGCGCTCGGCAGCCTCCAACGATTGGACGACGGGCCAACATCGATAGCTCACCAATACAACTGCCCTACAAGTGTACCAAAGCTGCCACACTTATATTCTGCAGGCCAACGGGAAGCTGGGGGGGTGGCGGCGATGCGGCCACCTTTCATGGCCATGACAGGGGGGGTGGGGGCCGGCGGAGCTTCCTGCAGCTCAGCAAGCTTGCCGGGATTGCTCTGGCGCGTGGAAAGCTCCCTCTTTAATGGCTCTGGACCCCGAGGCGCTCATTATCCTTTTGCGCGACAATCGTTTTCTTCCTTTGATTATTGGTCTTTTGAACATTCTGCTCGGAAGCTTCGGCGACTCTAGGATAAGCGACAAAGGGCTTGCTGTTCGTGAAACTCGAAGCTGACTGCACTCATACCACGAACGCTCTGCAATTGGGCTGTTGGGTGACAAACTGTAAGTGCGGGGCAGCCGATGGCGATGAGGTGGGATGCGACCAGCTTGGCGTGTGACTGACCTGCTGCCAGATCAACTCACCATTCTCTTCCCTCGATCTCTCACCTTGTCTTCTTTTTCTGTTCGAATCGGCTTCTTCTCACGATAATACTCACGGAATCTACGCCGCCGAGGAGACGCGACATCCCGCGAGACCATGTCTTCCCAATATTATCCCCGTAAGTCCTTCACTCTCACCCCGCCATACGGCAAGGCGAAGAAACTTGCGCTGACCACAACGTTCAGCTCCTCCATCGGGAGGTACGTTGTTCCAATCGCGCGGAAACTCTCCCCGGATGAAGCGCTGACAAGACACTCGAAATCAAGCCCAGCAAAACTACCCGCCGCCGCCGCAATCACCTCCCGCGAACCAGACCAAGTTCTCGTACCCTGCTCCTCCCTCACAACCTCAGCGCAGCCATAGCGGGAGCTATCCTCCGCCGCCTCAGCCTTCGCAAGGGCAGTCGCAGAACTACCCTCCTCCACCGCAAGCTGCCGGGCAACACAGCAACAACTACCCTCCTCCTCCCCAGTCAAGCACACCCCATAACTATCCGCCTCCCCCTCAGTCGCCAGGACATGGCGCGAGCTACCCTCCTCCTTCGCAGGCATCACCGCGTCAGGGGAGCACCTACCCGCCTCCTCCCCAAGGAACCACGACGCCCTCGCAGAACCAGGCGCAATACCCGCCACCTCCCGGCCTTTCTCAGCAGCAGCAGCAGTATCAAGCACCTCCTCAGCAGTCGCCGCAGCCCTCCCCTCAGCACCAGCAACAGCACCAACAGACGCAGCTTCCCCTACGACAAGCAGGCACCCCCGATTCGCAGCCTCAATTCTCCCCTCCGCCTCCCGCCTTCGACGGACCGCCCGAGGCCTCCAGCCTGCCAGAGAAGCAGTACGTGGAGGAAGCACCAGTCGATACGAGCAACCCGTCCAACCTCGTGGGCGGCGCGCCCCCGCCTCAGCACTTTATCGGCGCCACCGCGACCGTCGACGATGTCGGGACCTTTAACGGAGGCAGCTACCGCATCAGCCACCGCGACAGCAATACCATTCTGACCGTCCAGCTGGCGATGGGCTGCCCGCTGCAGGCGAAGCCCGGCGTCATGGTGGCCATGTCGCATTCCATCACACTCAGGGGCCAGATCAAGTTTAGCATGAAGAAGCTTGTGGCTGGCGCTGAGCTGGCGAGCTCGACTTATGTTGGACCCGGCGAGCTTCTTCTGGCGCCTCCTATGCTTGGTGATGTTACTAGTCTGCGTCTTACGGGCAAGGAGACGTGGTCGGTTGGGCAGGATGCCTGGCTGGCTTCGACGCAGGGTGTCATTAAGGACTACAAGCGCCAAGGCCTCAGCAAGGCTATTTTCAGTGGCGAGGGCTTGTATGTGTACAAGATTAGCGGTACTGGTCTGCTCTGGCTGACTAGTTTCGGTGCCATTATCCGCAAAGATGTGAGTCCCAGGCATGTATGGCCATATCTATAACGCAGCAGCTGACCAAAACATAGCTCATGGAAGGCGAAAAGTATGTGGTCGATAACGGCCACTTAGTGGCATGGAACGTGAAATACATCATGGAACGAGTCGCCTCCGGCGGTATCATCTCTGGCCTTTCCTCAGGCGAAGGTCTGGTGTGTAAATTTACCGGCCCAGGGACCGTCTTCATGCAGACGAGGAATGCGGTTAGTTTTCGTCAATCGTTTGTGCTGTTCAATCTGACTAACACTTCGGACCACAGAAACATTTTAGTGCCTACTTGTCTGGACAAGCAACCCAAGGCATGTAATGCGATGGACCCTCTTTTGGCTTTGGCTGCAGTCCTGCTTGCATACTTTACGCTACCTTGGTTTATCATAAGATGGCAATTTTCCTGAATTTTCTACGACATATAGCGTGTTCAAATTGATATCCTCTCTTCTTGACGCATGTTCTTTGACGTTCTTTGATTAAAGTGCATGACACATTGCGTTGTTATACTGGCTCTGTACCCGAGGTGGCTTGCAACAGCATGTCAACGATGATATCAAAATGGTGGTTCTAGACTTCCAGGTTGTCTTGGATGACTCCTGACTTACTTGGGTGCGAAATTGGCGTCTTTTTCAAAAACTTTAAGCAAGCGGAGATAAGTCGTAGTTGGTGAGTCCTTCCTGGCAGTTTGAACCATGAGAACATTCAACCTGCCGTTTCCTCACGTCGATCGTGAACTCCTTCTTCTTCCTTTTCACACCTCCTGCACGGAGCAAACTTTCCGGGTAATTCGACAATAAGCAAACACGACCTCGACGCGTTTAGTTCCCTGCCAACCTCCCTCCATCATTCACATCATCCGTCAACATCACACCCATCACCTCAGCTCTCCAATTTTGGACACATCATCGCAGACTTAAGGGCCTCAGCGCATGCTTTTACATCAGCGAAGAACTTTCTTCACCTCACTTTGGGTCCATCACGCCTGTCGTCTCCGTCTCCTCTAGCGACTTCCGGCTCCATCGTCCTGCTTCGTACTGGGCTTCCGTCGGGAACACCCAGTCCGATCCGCCATTTTCGACAGTTCTAGCTGACCGAGCGCATATTCTCTACGGTATGGCCTAATAAATTCTCTTCTTTTCGGGTGAAAACTTGTCACTAATAAAGTCGGCAGAGATATGGAGAAGACAGTAGTGGCATTAGCCTCCGCCAACTGGCGCAAGCCGTTATCTCCACACGATCAGAATATACCGCAAATCAACATGCGTCGGAGACGAGGAACCTCGAGTACTGATACCGAAATCGGCGTGGCTGAAATCGCTAGCAACTGGCGGAAGCCCGTGGCCGGTGTCGCCCCTTTTCAAACCGCGACCGATCCCGTATCAAGAGACAATAGTCATGCCTCAATCAAGGAAAGCGGCATGGTTGATGGCGTGACGCAATGTGCCCTGGTAAATGTCGTACCTTTTCATAGTCAGAGCAAGAGTTCCATCTAGAAGAAGGTTCCTGACTCAGTGGTTTTGGACGTTTTTATTCACGAATGCACCGATCTCAACTGCAATGAACACAATAGCATGTTCAACAACGCAGAGATACGCAGCATTAGAAATGCGAACCGTTTCAAATCGCAAACTCGGCCTGATAACCTAGCCGAGTTCAGTAAGCAATTAGAGGGGGCCGGAATCACGCCTCGGAAGTCTTCCATGACTGATCTCTTACGTCCTTGCAAGCACGAAGAGAGCGATGACTCTAGCCACAAGAACCACTCTCCAGATCTGCAGAAAGAGAAAATTCTGAGTAACTCGGCCGTCATTCACGACCCAGCAATTGTCAACATTGGTTTCCGGGACACCAAACCGAGTTATAGCGGCTCCGGACACAATCAAGATGATCGCTTTCAGGGGCTTTTACGGAAGCTCCAGCGGCCTTTGCAAGGCGAACAGTCAAAACACAAGGTCACCAGGGATGACGGTACTCGTCCAAGACATTATTCCGAAGATTCTGGTATAGATACCAGAGGGCCGCACAAGGCTCGAACTCTCAACCCACTAGCAAGGGAATTTTCCACCTTTGCCCCTCAGACATCCTCAGCTACAGCAGACACGGCCGAAGAGAGGGACAGGAAAACCATTATCTCTCTTCTGGAGCAGATAGCGAGCAAGACTCTCAGTAAAGCTCCCGAGCAAGATCCGAACGAGATGTTTGCCAACATAATCGCAAAGTTTGGCATCCAAGGAACGCAACCTTTTCCGCCGTTCAACTTCACACCCTCCGTGCCAAGACCAATATTGTATCCGTCGCTTTTCCAACAAGTCCCTCCAGCATCTCCTATTCCAGCTTTTGGTCTACAGAACAATATTATGGCACCTCCACTAGGCATTTCGACCCAAATGCCTGCCGCACCATTCAATCCACCTGCTCCAGGTTTTGCACCATCATTTGCACACAACACAACCGGTCCCCCTCTGATGCCCCTTGGTTCACCGTTCAATCCGATTCGGCCTACTCTACCCTCATCTGCCCATGACTCTGATTCAAGCAACGTTGCCCCAGCTGTTGGTTTTGCTCGACAGATGGCCAAAAGTCTGGCATTGCCTACTCCCGGGCCTTGTACCGCTCCGTTCCCAACACAAACACCGGTAATACACCACGGGTCTGTGTTGAACGCGAATGCTCCTGTGTTCGGTCCTGCCATGGCGCCCAGATGCGCTGCCAAACCACGAGTCCCTGACACGGCTGGCCAGCAGAGTTACGAGGCGTACATCGAGTGGCGTAAAGCAAACGAGCCTGGCTATGCCCTTGAATGCAAGGCAAGACAAGCCAAGAGAGCACTTCGACCTATTCCTGGCTGATTCCATGAGTCGGCTGTGGTCTTGTCATCTCAAAGATTTGGCTATGGAGAGCATTGGAGCACGGAGCATACATCAGTGGACGGGACAGTTCCATATCAGCTGGCAAATTCTGGCTTTCTCAGATCAATTCTGAATTGTAGTTTTACGGCGAGATATTCTCATATCGATCGTTGGAGGGTGGCAAGGGTGTAGGTGTATACAATGGCAGGAGCTTGAAGAGTAGTATTATGTGTTTTGGGGGCCCTTTGATCATTCTTGAGGGGCTGAAATCAAGGATATGGAAAGTTGAGCGAGGAAGCTAAGCTTGGAGCAACTAGAACTGAGCTCAAGGGCTGACTCTAGCTGTTTGCATTCAATGAAATTGCGTTATAGCTCATGTACGTGCTCATGAGTGTGTTTTCCCCTCCGGCATTGCTGACCTTGGGAAACATACTGGATACTGGGAACCTCGACGGTTGCCAGGGCAGCCACCACCACAGCCTACGCGCCTTCCTCAGGTTCACCAGCCCACATCGCAACCTTTTCATCCGATACCCTTTTCGCCTACCACCCGAATACACAACATGCCCTCATATACCCCTCCAAGTCCAATTCTGTCACCAGCGCAGCAGGCGCCCTCTAGGCCGGGGGTCAGGTCAAACTGTGGCGTGGTGGCGGAATGGTTATAGTCAACAATCAATTATTCACACCAACCAGCCTACTCGACGACAGGCTTAGCGAGTACCCGAGTTCGAATCCCAGCATGAGCACCAAGAGATGTAGCCCCCAGTTCAGCACCGGGGGGGTGAACTCTTTTGCTATTTCGCTCAACGGTGGGTGTCTTGGCGGGTAGTTCTTCTTAGACGTGGTTTAAGTATAGGAAGAAAACACGTTTTTAATTTTGTGGTATCTGGGTGCAAAGTCGTAATATCTCCCCGTCGTGAGAAACATACCCGCGCGCTCCAACGTCAAATCCACCAAATACTATAGTATCTAGACGCGACAAACCAGCGAATTCATTCTTTCTCATCAAATCTTCCCATCTGTAAAGCCCAGTGTAATCATAGCCCATAGCACACAGCCCAATTCAGTCACAACCAAAAGAAACACACACACACATACACAAACTTCTCAAATGCCCTCGATGCCATACGCCTTTGCCGCGGTACCACCAAACAGGGCGGCCTGGTCCTCGGGCTCGAGGGTGGCCATGTAGCACGTGCGCTCGACGAGGAGCTTCCACTTGCGCCAGGCCTCGTCGACGCCGACGGTGCAGACGGGCCAGTCGGAGCCGAACATTGTGCGGCGGGTGCCGAACGTGGCGAGGACGACGCCGAGCCAGGGGAAGATTGCCTCAAAGATGGCATTGGGGTCTTGTTTCTTGAGGGAGTCGGGCATCTCGGAGAAGCCGCCCGAGAGCTTCATGTAGGTGTTACTGCACTTGGAGAGGGCGTAGATGGCGGTGCGCCAGTGGATGAAGGAGGGGTCTGTTGTGTTTATGATGCCGAGGTCGGGTTTGCAGAGGTGGTCTGGTTTGGGGGGGGTATTTGTTAGCTTTCTTGTCATAGTCATGGGTGGGTGGGAGATAGGGGGTAAGGGAGGGGGGACTGACTGATGACGAACGTGACCTTTTCCTCCTCCGGAACACCCTCGTGAGCGCGGGAGATGATTTCCAACGCCTCGTCGAGCTGCTTGTTGCCGCGGCGGTGCTGGTCGACGCCCATGTCGAAGACGAAACCCCTCTTGCCCAAGAGCTTCAAGCTGTCGATGAAGTCGTCCGTCAACCCCGTGCCGTGCGGCTTATCCTGCAGCAAGTACCGGAACCCGCGAATCTTGGGCCAGACGGCGTCGCCCGCGACCGTCTTGACGTGGTCGAGGTACTTCTCCATGGCGGCGGCGCCGGAGGGCAAGGGAGCCCAGGGGACGATGCCCAGGCAGAGGCTGGCGTGATCCGGGCCGTGGCCCTCGCCGTCGCGGGGTTTGCCCTCTGCGATGCGGCGGAGCCAGGAGACTTCCATCAGGGGGAACTCCCAGCCGGAGGCATCGCGGGCGCCGGCTTCGAGGTCGTGTTTGCGGTCTGTTTCGAGAAAGATGAAGCCCTTTAGGTTGGCTGGGCTGCCGGTGGCGGCGACGTAGTCTTCGACGGAGTGTTGCTTCGCGAGGGGGTTCCCTGGGGTCGGCCAGGCGAGGGTCTCGATTTCTTGCTCTGGGTAGAGGTGGATGTGGGAGTCGATGATGGGGTAGTCGGCGGCCATGGTGGGCTTTGGGGTGGGCTGCTTGCCGATACGAGTTTCAAGAGAAGTTGAGTGCTTCTTCTTTTCTGAGGGATCAATTGATATCTTTTCGTCTGGGACGAAGATCGAGGACGAGGCTGAAGACGACAAAAAAGTTCAGCGTCGTTGTGTTTGTAGGAGGGAGGATGTTTGAGCTAGGCCAGGTGGAGGATGTGAGGTCCCCGCACCTATTTCTTTGACATCGCGGGGTTGCAACAGCGACACACACACAAACACCCTTGTCTGCCCCACTGCCGGCACCCCCCCCCCCCCCCCCCCTTTTCTGACGTTGGTGGTCCCCACCGCCTTCTTCAGGGGATCTTTCCCCCGAGCACCGACCTTTCGGGGCGTTTATTGTGTACGGATAGGTACCTACTTAGATGGGGACGGGAAGGGGACGGACCACCTCCGGCGCGGACACAGCGGCATCTTGTACCGGTCTGCCGGCATCAGCATCGTTTACTTGTCATTTTCGGCAATTCAACAATTCGCGAGAGCATTTTGAGTGGGATGTTCGATGGGAATGCCAAATCACCCCAGACAAAATGAGATTTCCAGTATTGTCATTCACATTCACATAGCGGATGCACAGTTAAAGGTGTGTTCAAATGATGAATAGATTCAGATCGGCATCTATCCACAACCGCCTGTGGCGATAATCTTGTCTATCTACATGAAACTTGCTTCATGAGAAAGCAGCCTGGCCCGGGAGCTTTCCTAAAGCCCAGCCCCCGGCAGCCGCTTGAAAAACGGTCTCATCCCCAGGAGCGGCGGATGCGCTGGCTCCTATTTCCAACCCCTGGGAGTCTAGGTCTCTCGCATTTTCCTCCCTATGATATGAAGGGAAACGCGAGGATGGCTCCGCTGTTGTCAAGTGAGGGAACATGACAAACGAAACGGGTGAGTTTTGATGTTTCACGCGCGCGGCGGCAAACACCTCCGTCTTACGGGACAGACGGCGGCGGCGGGCCACCGCGCGGCGCGGGGTCGCAGCATCGACCCACTTGGAACGAGGAGAGGCGGGCGGGGCCCGAGACCGGCTCGGTTCGCAAACCGCCTTTTTCCTCGGTGGATGCAATGATTAGCACGTCGGCGAGCGCGGGGCAATCGCGCGACGAAATGAATGTACGGGCCACATGGGGGCCTTCTATCTTCGTGTATTTGGTGGTTTTCCTTTTGGTGGTTCCCATCCCAGGGCAGAGATTGAAGCTCTTCACCTGACGACGATGCCGTGGCGGCGGGTGGTGGAGGGAGCGTACTCCTCCTCCTCGTCGGACTCGGAGTCGGAGCAGTCGGAGCTGTCGTCGTAGCCGCAGCGTGCGCCGCCGCAGTCGATCTTGACGCGGTCGCCCTTGCGGGTGATGCCGTAGCGCTCGCAGGTGCAGGTGCTGACGTCGGAGCCGGGGGTGCTGTAGCCGGAGAGCGAGGAGCTGGGGCTGGAGCTGTCGGAGCGGTAGGAGAGGCTGGAGCCGGTGGAGGAGACGGGGGAGCCGGAGGCGGAGAAGTCGGTGACGATGTCCTCCTCGTCGAAGCCGGCGGCGCCGAAGCGGGCGGTGAGCTCCTCAATGGTCTCGTCGTCGCAGTAGTCGCTGTTGAGGATGTGCTGGGTGGCGTGGGGCGACATGGGCTTGGGGGCCTTGATCTGAGAGACGGAGAGGGGGCGGCCCTTGGGGATGTCGCGCGACGAGGAGCGGTGGCGGCTCGACTTGGAGTCCTTGTCCTTGGAGGAGTGGCGGGAGCTGCGGGACGAGGAGTGGGAAGAGGACTTTGAGGAAGACTTGGAAGAGCTGGTGCTGCTTGACTTGGAGCTGGACTTGCTGGAGGACTTGGAGCCGGCGGGGAGGTCGAGGATGTTCAACTCGCGGCCGGTGGTGGGCTCAACGGTGGAGGCGACGCTGGGGTTGTGGGCAACGTGGTAGCCGTCGATGATGTAGTAGTACCAGTAGCGGGAGCCGGCGGAGAGAGTGGAGCCGCCAAACTTGAAGGTGCCCTTCCATGAGCCGGACTTGGAGGAAGTCTTGTCCTTGGAGAGAGGGAGCTGGCCGACGTAGCCGTCCCAGGAGCCGAGCAAGTGGACGGTCTTGACACCGGAGGAAACACGAAGGGAGAAGGAGAGTTGAGTGGACGACATTATTGCGGTATTTGACGTAAAAGGGTGCTGCGATTAGGTGGCTTTGCTGAATAATGTGCGTTGAGCAAGAAATTCCAGATTTCCGTTACTAGGGGACAAGTTGACCGGCAACTTTGGTGATGATTTGCAAAAATTGGGTATTAGTTTGGAGTGTGAATTAAGATAGAGACCGGCTCTATGGAAAGAAGAAAGAACAAAAAAGGGAGGAGGGGAAAAAACGAAGAACTGGAATTAGTTGTTTGATTGCTTGCTGAAGAGAGAAAGAGGAATTGGAATCGAAGAGGATGGGATGCTTCCATTATATGGTTTGACCGGCCGTCCCTAGAGGCCCAGGAGAGGCCCTAGTTGAGGCCAACACCACCACCACCACCACCACCACCACCAACACCACCACATCTGTTCTCCACCCGTCTACCTCTGCGCTCCCGTCACCTTGTTGTTGGTGTTGGGTTGGGGACCGACAGACAGCCACTCGAGATGCGGTGCTACTGGCGCCGGTTCATGGCTGGAGTAACGCAACGGGGGAAGAACTTGTTGCTCGTCAGCACAAGGTGTAAGTGTGGACCGTGGAGCGTGCCGTAGCGTGCAAAAATCAAGCGTCACTCGACTGGGCGACCCAATGAGAGAAGGGCTGGGGAGGACGAGGCTTGTGGATGGTCGATGCAAGCAACCAATATCACACTGGTGATGAGCTCCGCGGGCGACGTCGAAAAGGATCAGCCGGCCGGGGTTTCCCCCCTCGTCCAAGAATGGACACTCAGGCAACGACTGTGTACTGTGGTTGGCTGTGTGCCTTTCCCTCCGCGGTGTACTGGCAAATAGGAAGCCGAGCAGCATTTCTGTTGATGGGGACCATGGTAGCCGTCACCTCTTGTTGCTCGTTGCCTTAGTGGTGCTACCATGAGATGGCCGCCGGGATGGGCCAAGTCTGCAAGCTGGGCGGTTAAGCATGGTGAGAGGAGACTGAGAGAGGTTGAGATCACAGAGAGGAAGAGGAGAGAGTGAGGGGTTCCCTGGGCAGCCGTCGGCGAAAATAGAAGAGAAAAGTGGAGTCTTCCGGGTTCCCTCCGATCTTTGCGTGAGATATGGGGCCGGTCGCTCTTTTCGGCTTGAAATGGGCGTCTAAATCCCTGCCTTCATTGGCCAATAGCCCACGCTCATCGCTCTTCTGTGCCCGGTCGCTTATCACCCCATCACCAAGTCTTGAAGTGATGTGCTGCAGGTCGAGCCAATCAAAGACTATGCGCGGGACGATGCAGGTTTGCGAAAGCATCACCACTCACAAGAAAGCTCCCAGCCCTCGAGAACATCGCCCTCCTCATTGCTCAATACCGTACCTCACTGTGTAGGTAGTCGAGAGCTGCCGTCCCCGCTGGGATTGGCTCGTCCTCGTGCCCGTAAGAGATGAGCAGAAAAGCCACATCTCTCAATTCTCGCACGGCATTCGCCCGTATGGCCGCATTAAGCAGACAGTCAACTGGCATACTGCATCATGCAACGAGTCAATATGCATGCCGTCTGCATGTAAATGCGAGAGCTCTTGCTGAGATTGATGTCCTTCCTCATTGGAGTATCCGTATTGTCAGTTGACATCCCGTCCTCTTTCCAGCCGCTCGACCAGGGAAGAACCCAAGATCGCGCGAGTCGGAAGAAAGGGAAGAGCAAACGTGATGCCAGAAGCCATGTTCCTGGTTCCCTGGCTGCCTGGGTGATGTGCAGACCTGTCTGCGTCCTCCGGTTTGCCAGCTGCCTCCCGTACCTGCTTTGACGTCGAACCATGGTAGACTTTTCACAGATCTGACGATGCAAGAAAAGAAAAAAAAGTCGAGGTCAGTCTCTGGTAATGTCGACAGAGCTAGATGCCTTCGTCATAGAGGTAAGTGCAAGCCGGGACGGATGGTAACGTCCAAAGACAAACCCCCACAGACTTGGCCCAAAGGGCTGGAGGAGATCAAACACTACCGAGATCCGGAGCTGGGAAAGGGCACAGAAAACGGGGCAGCGTACTCTAAAGTGCGTGCTTCTCTGCCTTGTCTGCCGTGGCAGGCTGGCAGCGTGGGCTCGCCCTGGGCGGTCTGGCCCTGTCAGTCGACATGGCCGATCGTGGTGCGGCCCGCCAAGTACAAACTACCGTCCTCCGCCTTTCGGTCGACATCCGCTGCGTCTGCGTGGCCCTTGGGCCACCCACACCTCAGAGGATGATGGATGTGAATTGTAGAAACGGCTCTTGATCTTTCCCTTCTTACCATCCTCCTTTGGCATAGTGTCCAAGGTGCGTCATCCGGCTCCATGCGTCTCTAGTCTCGGCGGGTATGTGAGGTCCATCACACTGATGGACTCAAATCCCCGCTGACCGGGACGGCAAGCCCGCTCGTGATATTTCCCTCAATCGTATCTGGGATCTGGGATTCAGAAATACCTGCCGTGGTTCTGGACCGCGAATGCGAAAGGTCCATCGAGATTGCCACTCCATCAAATTGATCAAAAAAGCGAAGAGAGGGCTGCGAGCCTGTGGCAGCCTAGCAGGACGGCGCCTCGTAAGCTGGCTGCAACTCTGGTATATCGGCCTTGTCCTTGATGCCGACAGATGTCTCACAAGCAACTGCGAGCTTGAAGCGGTCTGACCTCAGAATGGTAAGATCGATGTCGGCTGACAAGCTGAGCGCTCATGAGTGTTACGTGTGTTGCAGCATCACAACAGATGGGCCCTTTGGATGGTGTTTCCCGGACGCTTAGCCGCCGTTCAAAAGATCTGTAATGGTGTGCTGAGGTCGAGTGTGTGTTGTTTGTTTGTTTCCCTTGTTGGAGACGGGAGGACCTGGCGGGAAACAGCGGGATCGCCCGTGAGAGGGATAAGCCATGTGGACACTGGAAGCAGTGGTGCCCACCTACAGTAGAGCAAGATCACGTGAAGTATCCCGTGATAACGCGTTTCGCGTCAACGATCTACTTTGGCGCATCGTAACAAAGTCGCGTTCGGAAATCTGTTACATCGCCGGTCTGAGTCAACGGTCCAAGGCAGCAGCCCCTCTTTCATCCTTAGTCTAGCTAGACGTCCTCGAGGTAAAGCCCTGTTGAAAAGGTCGGATTACCAATCCATCAGCGAGAAGTCTTGCCGTTGCCATTGATAAACGCCATCGACGATCCAGTCTTCTCCAGTTCCTTATACACAATCTTTCCCATCTGTGGAGTATCAAGATCCCGTTTTCAATATGACTCAAACCGCATCACCATCCAACGAGGAGCTCGTCTCCGAGGTGACAAAATACGTAGAGGCCTACATGGCAAAATACGACGCCTCCCACGACTTCAACCACATCAAGCGCGTCGTCTCCCTCGCCCACAGCATCCATGCGCAATCGCCAGCCACCCCAGCCCTGGACAAACACATCATCACCCTCTCCGCCCTTCTTCACGACGTCGGCGACCGCAAGTACCTCCAGCCCGGAGAGGACGCATCCACCCTCGTCTCCACCCTCCTCCGCTCCCTCGGCGCGGCACCCGAACTCGCGGCCCGCGTACAGACCATCTGCCTCGGCGTCAGCTACTCCAGCGAGATCAAGGACCCGGCGCTCGTCCGGGCGCTGATTGCAGAGTACCCGGAGCTCGCCGTCGTGCAGGACGCCGACCGCCTTGACGCCATTGGTGCCGTGGGTATCGGGCGGTGCTTCACGTTTGGCGGTGCCAAGGGTGCGCGCAGCATGGATGACTCCATCATCCACTTTGAGGAGAAGCTGGTGAGGCTGGAGGGGATGATGAAGACGAATGCTGGGAGGGAGATGGCGCGGGAGCGGACCAAGAGGCTTCTCACCTTTATGGAGTGGTGGCAGGATGAGGCCGGTCCTGTCAGCGCCTGAGAGGGCTTCAATTCTTTATACGGATATGATATTTCCCTTCGATTCAACTCGATACCCAGCTTTGTTTTGATATTACAGTCCATGTTTCAACGCGGACTATTACGATTACTCGAAATATGAACACCCCATCCTCTGAACGCCCGATCCCTCCTTGTTACTCAACTCAGTTCCCTTCCTGCAACACCATCCTTCTCTCCATCTCAAGTCCCATCCGTCTCCGAGCCTGCCGATACCGCCAAGCCCAGTCCACCAACCCGAGAAGCGGCAATACCAGCACGTCCAAAACCCTGATGGACGTCCGCAGCGTAAAATCATCAGGCACCCGGTGTCGCCCAAACGACGAGCAGAGCGTATTGACCCAATACAGCGCCACCTCCCTCAACAGCTCGCGCCCCTCAAAATTATACAAAAATGCGAACCCGCTCCCGTCCTGGCCCCACGGCAGCGTCTGGCCCCGTACCCTCTTGTCCACCACAACGCCCCAGTCGTCGTCCCGCGCCAACATGAATACCGCGACCGCCCCGCGGCGCATGAGCTGCCTGTCGGGGCCGTCGAACCAGAGGAGCGTCGCGACGAGGCACGCCCAGGGCAGCCGGTCCCGCAGCCGGAAGTAGTACAGGAACGAGGCGTAGAGGTAGGCGACGCAGCAGGTGCCGACGAGGACGGTGATGTCGAGAGGTCCGCTGGTGGTGGAGAAGAAGAAGAAGAGGAGGGCCATGAGCGGGTAGGTCGCCATGAGGAGACGGAGCTGGTTCGTGATGGAGACCCACCCTTCCCAGGCGATGGCGGCCAGGACCTCCCAGATGATTGCGGGGAGATCGCCGACGGCGCGGAGGAGCATGACCGATACGTGGGTCCCTCCTCTCGGAGGCCGCTGAGCCCCCATCGGTGGTCCGCCCGTTGTGTTTCTTTGGTGCTTGTGGAGCGTGAAGACGTTTGGGTTTCTGCCCGTTTGGCGGTCCAGGGTACGGGTTGAGATGGAAGTTCTGGCCGAGGACCGCGGGGCCGTGTGACCGATTCGAGGTGAAGATGGTAGTATGAACTGTTGAATTCTCTCCAACTTCTCTCCTTCCTTTTTTTTTTCTGCTCGAGGGGAGGGGGGGAGGAGGAAGGGTGAACTACCTTTCGGAGCTGGCGCGGACTCTAGGGGAACAGCTCAGCAAGAAGCAAGAAGACCAAGGATTTGTGTCTTACCTTAGTTCCCTCCCTTAGCTTCAGGACGGACCCCCCACGCAAACGCACCAAAGGGCGCCACAAATATGATCCCAATCTCCAGAAATAAGGGACCCAAGCGGATGATAAGGCTGGCTCTGGTCCCGTTTTTAATGGGAAAGTGACGTAGACAAGAACTCCGTCTTACCTGGATGATTGGGTCCTCCATGCTAGTCAGAAGGAAGCGGGCGTGCCGAGTTACCCTTGACTTGGAAATGAACTTCCACGTCTCGTAGTGACACTTCTTGATAGCTCTCATACCATTACCTCTGTGATGATGGATAATCATTGGTTTTAGCTCCATGAAACGAAACTCGAATGTAAGCAAGAAAGCGGCGGAAAGTGAGCCGCCCGGATTCATTTTACCATTAAGATCCTTGGATAAGCTAAGTCGATGAGCATTCCAGAGTCCAGAAGCATCCCGCGTTGCTAGGGTTCTCGCCCTCCTTTATATGTGAGACATTTCTCTTGGCAATCTTTGAGAAAAGGTCGTATCTTGACCCCAGGTTAGGATATGAGAGACTTTGACAACGGCAGAGCAACGGCCTACGAAAAGCGTCACCTGGGATACTAGACAATTCATATCAGAAGAGAAGCAAAGTCGAAAATTATTGAATGTGATTATGCTGTATGTTACTCTGCTGCATGTCCCCCTTGGTTTCCTTGACCAAGCAGAGTCCAGGAATACTGCCATGCAGAAGTGGAATCATGTGCATGCTCTGCTATCGACATTATTGAACCTAAACGACACATCTCCCGAATCTTACCTACCAACGGCACTTGAAATGATCATCTAGGACTGCAGAGGCTCGAGGAAAGAAATCTTCATCTTAGCTGCAATCGACATGGAAAACGATTTCACCTTGGTGATCGTGTTGCCAACGTCATTCAAGAGTCAAATGCGTTTCCTTCTCCGGTGGTCAGGTATCAGAGTACCAAAGTATCAAAGGAATCCGATCCCAAATAACAAAAGAGTTCACCCGCCCGGGTGCTGAACTGGGGACTGCGTCTCTTGGTGCTCATGCTGGGATCGTATACGGACTCGAACTCGTAGCCTGTCGTCGAGCAGGCTGTTGGCGTCATTTAATTGTTGATCATGATACACTCCACCACCCAGCCAGTTTGACCTGACCCCCGACCTAGACGGCGCCTGCTGGCTGGTGATCGGAATGGAATTGACGGGACCTATATGAGCTTGCCCTCGTGGTGTATTCATTCATCTGGAAGTTGTGTTCATTCCAGGGTTGAGGGCGCCACGCTTTCCCACACTCGTCGCCCCAGAACTCTACCTGCCATTGACTACAGTTCCCTACACTCCTTACTTACCTAAAATACCTTCTACCTTAGTTTTCATGGTTTCAGTGATCATGATAGAAGCCCGGCTTGGGTGAAGGCACAGTCACCGGGGTGGCTTCGGCTTCAGCTGGTAACTCACCATCAGCCGCTTTCCATTCAGAACGACCACCCAATCAGAGTGTTGGAATGAGAGGTGAATACCTGACGAGAGCTTCAAATAAGGTAAAGGAAAACGTGTAGTATGGCATATATACAGCGAATGAGTTTCGCGCATTGATCTTTTTCGTCGGCATAGCTCCAATGGGAGTTTGAAGACTCGCTCCGTTCCTTTTCCCCTGTGAGCACTTTGCTCAACCATGATCGCAACTACCTTTACCTTCTTAGCTCCTAGACTACATACAGCATCCTTCTTCCTGTCAACCTTCCTTGCAGGTGCAGAATATTTCTTCCTCCCCGGAGAGATATGGCTTCACACGAGCAGCACACCGGCCGCAAGAGCAATGACTGCGGCGGCGCGAATGTTTTCTGAAATGGGATTCCCGGCGTTCGGCGGTGCAGCAGCCGAAGTAGGGCTAGCTGTTCCTGTCCCCGTTGGAGAGGAAGTCGAGGAGTCCGGCAGGGCATTGGTGGACATGACGCGGTCCAAGATGTGGATGAGTCCGTTGTTGGTTCTGTCACGGAGTATCAGTTCTTTTGGCCTAGTTGTAGCTTCGGGTCTGGCAGTCAAATGACTTTGTACTACTTACAGGACATTGGGGCTGATGACTTTTGCGTCGTTGAACCAGATCTCGTTATCCTTGACGGTGACGCGGACAGTTACATTAGCCATGGAGGTGAACTCCTGACCATCCATGAGGAAGTCGCTGTAAGCCGCTTGAGGTAAAGTGTGGAAGCTTTTCCCAGGTTAGTCGGACGAAAGCTTCATTCCTACGTTATGGCTTGCAACTCACAGCAACGCGTTTTTGAGGTCTTCGTTTCCGAGAGAATTCTGAGGACTACCTGCCTCCTTGAAAGCTGCGGTGTTAGGCCCCAAGCACGTGATGTTGGCGGTATTATCAAGTTGCTTCCACAGCTTGATCTTGTCCAAGGCATCCCCGAGAGCCGATAATGAGCTTGACAGCTTCTTGATGGTAATAGAGCATATCGTCGGCGCTTCTAGAACACTTTGAAGCCATCAGCATAAGTTTCTTAATGCAGGCTCACAGCATTGACTTACACATCAACAGATTGGAAGTATCCGCCGTCCCATACCCCGTCGATCGACGTGAGCTCCGCAGTCTCACCAAGACCACCACGTAGGCTTGCGGTGTGATCATCGGAAGAAGTTGCTTGCCTGACTCTGATTTTGGTGGGATTTATGGTGCTCGGCGAAATAAAGAGTACTTGACCCTTAGCATCGTCGCCGTACTGATCGATCATGGCAGGGCCAGGCGTCCGAAGGTTGAAGAGCTCATCGCGAAGTTTAGTAGGGATTGTGATGCCCCTGGGCGCGCTGAAGTTCGAGGCCGTCAACGGAGCATCTAGAGTATGATATCGGAAGACGGTCAATAGTTGGCTCACGGGAAGCTGTGTGATTTCGCTAATGTTGGTCTGTTGAAGGAAGTTGGTGAACGCATCGTTGGTCGGCACTAGAAGGGTGACTTTGTTCTTAGTCCCGGCGGTTATGTTGCTTATGATGCTTGGATAGCTGTTGAGAATCCCGTTGAACGTGGAGAGATCGGCGTGGCTTGACAACGCAGTGCTAAGACTCTGCTGGGCCTGCCGCGAATGTATGGATGGATCAATAGCCAAAGCTAGCGGCGCAAGACTGATGACAGCGACAGCGAACTCTTGGATGGAGCGCATACTTGCAGTACAAACCCTGAGCGAGTGACTTATTCAAGACAAACGTAGAGCTCACGGGCTAGGAATCTCAGAGGTGGAGGAGGAGGAGTGCCATATAAGCAGTCGTCTTCTTGTTCCTCAGCCGCACAAGCCAGATGTATGGCTGAGCCTAGCTGAAAATAGTGTCCCTCCGGCTTCAGCGGCAGTGCAAGCACGTTGCCTGCATCGTTTCTGCCACAATGTAAGCCAGGCCAAGCCTGACAGCCGATTGGGAGGCTAGGGCGGCGGCTTACCATACCACAAGATAGACATTGAAGTGATATAGCGCCACAACAAAGACACTCGGGCTTGATGTGCGAGTCGCAAAGACAAAGGTCTCAAGATCCGGCCATGCTGATGAAGGGGCCGTCCCCTGCGGCCAGTGGCAGGCTCATGCAGCAATTATTCGTCAGGTCCAAGTTAGCACGTTGGTAGGCGATAGGGTTCGGGAGTTGATTTCAAATTCGTATTCGAAGTATTGAACTGTGGCTGTATACGCACCAAGCGGCACTAGAATATGTAGGGCTGACGGTTGGCGTGGAGAAGCTGATTCTTGTGGAGCTTCGAGGATTCTAAGGTTCATCTAAGCATCAAGTGAAAGGGGCGCTATAAAGCGTAGGATGCCTCCTTCGAATGTGTTCTCATGCTACGAAAAAGCTGCCAGTCCAATTTCAAAAGCGTGGGAAACTCCTCGACTAATCTATTTCTCTGTCGTTGGGGGTTCGTTACACGACGGGGGAGGTGCGTCGTCGAACAGATCAGCGTCTTTCCTACCACATGGGGACCTTCACAGTGAGATACAGGCAAGACCCTGCTTACACTAGCAAGCTTAAATTAATCCCTGCGTCGTAGCCTGCAGGAACCGAGTTGACGATGGAAGGAAGCTCGGAAAGTCGACCGGTGGCTGCCCCGAGCTTTTGGTGGTTGTAGCAGGTACGCGGTTGAAGGCGCCTTACGATCGATGACAGCAGCATCTCAGTCATTCGCTGCAGTTGCCTTCCCTTAGTCAGAGAGAAGCATCCTCGGAGTGGTCCCTTAGTCCTTCTTAACCCAAATGTCTCTGCAGCAGGTGCTGTTGGGGCATCGCCCTTGGTCGTGGAACAAGTCGTGACACTTTTAGAGGCCAACTTGTCATTTCGTTGGCGACTGGAGAAAGTGGTCCTAACAATAGTAGGTCGAGTCGTTCCTTCAGAGATAGCAGTTGCCATATGACATGTCACGAGTGATCCAACGATATGGAGGGCAAGATGAGGCAGAGATTGTCTGTCAGTCTTTGGACTGGCAGCCGCTCACTTCACCCATTGGTACCTCGCACGATGGTGCATAAGCACTTACTACTTTTGTCCCCGCAAAGGAAAGGACGGGAAGGTGAGGGTCCAACACCAAAGTACCTTGCCTCCTTATGGAGTCGACGATGTTTATGGACACTGCTCCTCTTGGCAAAAGGGAATGCCCTTCTGCCCGGCACCCCGGACGCCTTCGATAAGGTGTTGCTCCCCTGCCAAAAAGCCAAAAGGACAAGCATATTGGCCCCATACTTTCGCCCGAGCTTCCATCAGTTGAAGGTGTGGACAGTGCCATCCTTGTACAACTAGTCCATGTTCGGTCAGCTGCTCGAGCTGGTCCAACTCGGCGCGAAATCATCCTCAACTGTGACTGGACAATTTGCAGCATGTCTATTGGAGTGAATGAGGTGTTCAACTGTGCCGCAGTCCCAATTTCGGCGGGCGTGAGAGACTATCTGCTCTGGCAACATTCTCCTCCAAACAGACCTTGCCGTTAATGGCGCATGGGGGATGGTAATGACGGCAAAACGTATTTCTGCATGCCCCAAGGAAAACAAGGGTCACCGAAAGGGTAAGGTCAGAACACCAAAGTTCCAAATTTTGTACACTATATCCTACCCACGATGCCTTCCCCGTTTAACCTGGTACGACGCATGCGCTCTCGTGCCGATTTCTTCCCCCCCTTGATGCTAGACGAAGGCAGCCAAGGTCGGGTGAGTTGAGGTAAGGTACCTTAAGGTACGAACACCCAGATTGGCAAATATGGCAGTCACGGCAAGAAAGCACTTGTGATACAGGCAGCTAGCTGCCTAATCGTTGGACAATGCCCTTGTGTTCCTCTTCTTCTTAACCTCTTCCTCTCAATCCCCTCCCCGATCCATCTCTTCTTCTCCCATCCAACTACATTGTACACATCGTCAAAGTCTTCCATAACTGCATTCACCACTTACACCAGCAAGCCCCAAGTTCTTTTGGAATTCCCACATCCATTGCCATTGCATCTATCCTCTTCAAAACTTTCTTCGTTGCCAAACTCCTCACCACTACGCCACTTCGACCAGCTCGTCAAAGCACAAATCGCAACAAGATGAGACAGACAGCCATCATCGCTGGCCTCGCAGCCATTCTTCCATCTACCGCCCAGGCTTGGTCTATCCCAGCCCTTCTCGACAACCGCCAGACCAGCCGTCCCTACCAAGACGTTGTCTGCAAGCCTCAGACAGGTTCTGGTGCCCAGCTTCCCCCTTGCGTCCAGATTGAGAACATTGAGCTCGCCTGTCAACCCAATGGCACCAACCCCATCGACTATGAGGCACATGCTCAATGCATCTGCGGGGGTAGCTTCTTCGCCGAGAAGTTGGCCTGCGAGCGATGCCTCACTATTCACGGCCTCCGCAGCGAGCGAAACCTAGCATTCTACAGCGGCGTTCTTTCATCTGCCTCCAATGCCCTCTGCACAGGTACTCCCACTGCAGTTTTTGCCAGCATCTACTCCGGCATCGAGGCTGCTGCCACTCCCGTGACGACCGGAGCGACTGCCACAAGCGATCAAGCTCCCAGCAACACGGCTATTTCTCTCTACTATACCGCCAGCGGCCCTCAGGGACCTGGCACTATCACTGGCGCAGCTGCGAGTGCTACTGCTGTTGCTAGCCGCACGACGACGAGCCCTTCTACTGCTGCGACTGGCTCGGCTTCGGGAGCAACTAGCAGTTCATCTACCCGCGCTTCAACTGCCACCACCGGTACAGCTTCGGGTGCCGCGGCCACGAGCTCAACAGCTGGCAGTGGTGCGATGCCAACCTACGCTGCAGGTGGACTCTTGATGGGTGCTGCTGGTATTGCAGTTTTTGCAGGACTTTGAGAGTTCATTAAGAGGCAGTCTGGTGGCCATTGCGGGAGGAAGGACCGGCCTTTGAGAGATGTTTGGTGGTGGAAGTAATGATAACGTTCACTACTGTTCACGATTCAAGTACTAATGAGCATGGCATGAATGCACTTTTCCCGTCCCCTTTGATTGAGCTGTGACCATTACCATCCCTTGGATCGTATCACCAGGTGAGACGCCAAATCTACAAATCGGACTTTCTGACAACCAATACGGGAGTCGCGGCAACGACAGTGTTTTTGGGCGAGGGTGTCACTCGATGCTGAGGCGGAACCGACTGTATCTTCATAGTGTCATTGCCTTGCATACAATTTCTAAATGTTCCTTCCGAAAATCTCGTCCGAGCTAAGCTAATAGCTGGGTAATACTTGGGTAACGACGGACGTGGGTCAATGGGAGGTCGAGTCGATCCCCGATGCCATCATAACCCTCCAGGTTCTCACGCCAGTCCACCACACCCACAAACTCCCCACACCCGACTATCCATGCTGTCCTTCCTCCTCCACCGTCCGCAGCATATAAGTTGGATCCCAGACCCTCCATCCAAGGACCTAGGGGTATATCCCATCTTACACGCATCTCAACTCTGTTGAACACTTCGTACGTCCGAACTTACTCGGGCATGTGCTTGAAAGGCTTTGCCAAGTTCTCCTGGCAGAATGGCAGCTTGCCGACGGTCCAGATTTCGGTATCCTGAAAACGACCCATTAGCCACAGCATTCGTCTATGCGCCAGTCCGGGACGGAACCACGGCAATTGAGAGAGTATCTTCTATCGATACTAGGGGCAACCGCTCGACTTACTGGCTTCAGGTTCTTCTTAATCTCGGTATCGAGGGTACCCGCCTTGAGGGCGATGATCTCCGGGGCCGCATCGGGGTCGTGAGCAATTGGCGAGCCACACTCGGAGCAGAAGATGCGGTGAACGTCCTTGCCGGACGATCCCTTACCGGCCCAGCTCTTTGTAGGGCCGTTGATGGTGAGCTTATCCTTGGGAACAACAGCGACGAGGGCTAATCAGAGTTAGCAGGCAGTACACACCCACGTTACGAGCCGAAGGACCAAGTAAGCCGCTTCCATGCTACGATATCACTATTTGAGAAAACATGGGAGACCACGTACAATATGTCGAACCACTCTGGCGCTGGCAATCGTCGCAGTGGTCGTAGCCGGTGATGAGCGGGGCATCGACGTCCACCTTGTAGGTGACGGCCTTGCAGAGGCAGTGTCCTGTGAGAGGCATGTTGGATATGTGATTCAAAGTCGAAGAGGTACGTCGAAAAAGGTTCCGAGTTCTTCGAGAATAGCAACAGGTTCAAATTCGTTGAAAGACGGTGCAGTGCAGCAAAACTTCCAAGCGGACAAATATCAGATGGGAGCAAGCCCTTTTTGTTTCTGGCGATGGAGGGGGCGGGGTATCTGGTGGCGCATCAAGTTTTAGCTGGCGACCTCCGAACACCACTTGAGGCGCTGGCATATTTCCGACGACGTCACTTACCCTATTGAGGTACCAATCCTGGAGCCAAACCGGATGAGCGGGGAGGAGTGTCCGAAACCGTGGGATGGGAGTTTCCGATGGTGAATTGGCAGCGACCACGACTCAAGCTACGGTAATGAGACGTTGAGGAAAGACTTTCCGAAGATTGATGCTTGTGGCTTTTTACTTTGAGAGAGAAGACGATCAACAGCATTCTCGAGGGAAAATAACTTCCCTTTATACATCCGACGAGTCCTTCGCAAAGCTTCGAGACACCACCCCTTTCGTGGCGGTAGACTTGGGCTCGTTCGGAGCCGGGACATTGAGCACAACCCAACCCTGGAAACAAGACTTTGGACAACTTTGGAAAGCAGTGAGGAGAAGGGGTCCACCATTTCGAGAAACGTTTCTGTCAGCACTGCAGGCCACGGCGATCCTGAGTTCCTCGGCGTTTCTACTCGACCTGCGGGCAGCTTATCCTTGTTGCACCGTATATCAACGAGTGCCTGATGAC